CAAGACATGTTTGGAGTAGGGCTGGGCGATATCGCAAAAAAGTAAAATCTCGATTTTATTTCCTGCTTTGGACGATTTCGATTTTAAATCAATTTTCATTAAAGTCACCAAAAGACAGACTTTAAAAAAACAATTTTTTTGGTATTTCCGCTCAATATTCAAGTTTGAAAACTATTTTTAATTTGTTTCTCCCAATATGTATTATAAAAGTCTTGTACAGACTGTGCTGATATTGCAAGTTTAATTCATGTGCTGCTGGAACTCTCACAATATCCTTCATTCGATTTCACAATTTTCACTTTTTTCACGAATTCATTTTTTTCAAAATCCGATTAATTGCTTGAATTTGATTTATTTCCCAGCCCTAGTTTGGAGTCTGCAGGCAGAAGGCACCATGGCAATGTTTTCTTTTCTGAATCTGCAATATGTGCAGGATTTTGTAAAAGAGAAAAAAAATCCTCTAAGTTCAGCCTAATCAGAGGCAGTTATGGTAAATGTGATAAAAATGTATCGTTATGAAACCTATATCACAATAAAAGTGTGTCATATTAGTCGATATCAATAACTATTGATTCGTTTGTTTTGTTCCCAGACTTGGATGGGAAGACAACCTTGCAGAGCTTTATTGTATTAGATTTATTATATTATTAACCGGTACTTTTGTGTCAACGAACACGTTACGTTAGTGACACTTGTATACAGTGTAGGGATGTACCGATCCAGATTTTTAGTAATCCGATCCGATTCCGATATTCTAAATATTGTTTTGCTGATACCGATCCGATACAATTTTTTCTAATATTTTCAAAGCGCTCGGAGGAAAAAGTTCATCACTTGCTTTTGCCACATGCATCGGGTCTTTGTGTCCACTGCCTCTCCCGCGCCGCACATGCTATGCCTCGCACGGACATGCATAACCACTGACACGGCATTGAAAAACAATCTTTAGATCTGTGTACGCTACGCATTGTGCGGTTGTTGTTAATGCATTTCCCAGAAAGTTTTGCGGTTCACGCTTGGCTGTGATAGGTCGAGAAGCCTCTGCCTACATCCCCCAGAATGCAGCGCGCTTCTGACTCTGCTTTACTTCCTGTGTTTTCGTCCGTTTTTTTCTAACAGATTAATGTTCTAACATTCTATCGACCCCGTTTTCTATTGATATCGAACACGTGTCTATTGCAATATATCTTGTTTTATCGCCCAGCCCTAGCCAGCCATAAAGCGTGAGCATGCTGAAAAGTGACGTAAATCGGCTTCATATTTAACAAATCCGATATTATCCGATCCTTACAAAATACCCATATCGGCCCCCGATACCGATACCGAATATCGGATCGGTACATCCCTAATACAGTGCCAGTAGAATGTCAACTCAGGGTGAAAACATAAGTTCACAAGCACTGCGTCCCCCATTTTCAGCCCAAGTTTGATCCTGGTTTAGCTCATGTTTTGATTGTTTTCAAGTGTCTACCTGCGTTGACCTGCTTTGACCCGCTTTCGCTGAACCCACCACTTCTGCCGCGTTGCAGCAACGCGACATACATGCAAATATTCACACTGAAGTATGTAGAGCTGGGCGGTATAAACGGTATAAGCGGTATGCGGTATAAATTTGGCCCACGGTAGAGATTTTTGTTATACCGGCATATTGCGATAGGTCATTATGTCATCAAATTGCGCAGGCTCTGACGCCAGCAGAAAGGACCAAAACAAACCGGCATTCAGCAGCATTAGCCTAGCACTATTAGCCTAGCAGACACCACTGGAAACAACAGCACGGCTTTCACACCGTGTTTCTGTCTCTGTATTGGTCACAGCGGCCCCAGCGGAGGTAAACACACACACAGCAATCACAGTTTACATGTCTACCTTTCGGCCAATGAGTGTCAAAGGGGCGTAGGCTCGAAGCGCCATCGTGAGCCAAAATAGATCCATGCTTGTGCCGTGTCCGCATCATCTCAGAAGTTTTGTAAAGTTAGCGTCCGATTCAGACTTCCGCGGTCAATAGATCACGAAAGCTACTTTGTTAAACAAAATTAATTGTGCCAAAATGAGCATTTACATCAATTGTTCAAATCAAATGCGCTGTTTTAATGCAGATAAATCCATTGAATCATCCAGTTCACAGCAAGCGCTTAGGGAGCGTCAACAAATGGCAAGACTAGCTTTGTAAACGAACAATAGCTTTTACTGAAGCCATGCATAACGCACTAAACTCTGACACTATAAATAATGACCATGTCTAACTGCTACAGATATTATATAATATATTTTATATTTTTATATTATTTAAAATTGCTTTCACAGTTAATGGTCTTTACTGTAACATACATAAATAATGTATGTTACAGCATTTGTCTCTCACCTGATTTTCAAACTCAAAAAATATATATCAGATTCTAATGTATAGATAAGTAACAATCTTGACTATTTTATGCAAGAACCTGCTAAACCTATATTGAAATTCACACACCAAATTATACCGTGATGTATACCGTCTACCGTCTGTGACCCAAATCATACCGCGATATGAATTTTAGGCCATATCGCCCACCCCTAGAAGTATGTCACCATTGACTTTGCATTGAAACTCGCCGCAACCCGTGATGCCGAGGGAACGCGGCTTTTCCCAGATGTTGTTGCTGGGTTTTTTTTCTTGTTGCATTTCTCAGAATGCCTTGCCTTGGTTCATGCTCGGCCGTGATAGGTCGAGAAGCCTCTGCCTACTTCCCCCAGAATGCTGTGCGCTTTTGTAGTAGGACATTGCGTATGTTTATCCAGGCTCTATTCTTCTGACCGCAGTGAGGTCCAGTCTCCATGTTTCAAAGCAGTCTGACTGTCAGACTGTGAGATAGAGTCTGTGATGCTTTCAAAGGGAATTCAAGAGTAAATAAATTCAGTCCTCAAAGGGCTGTGGGTTTTCATTTCAACCAAGCCATACTCCACCCGTTTCCTCAAGTGAACTCAGTTAGCCTGAAGACTTGAGGAGTGGGTGCAGTCTGGTGTGCTCCTGCTTGGTGGGAAAGAAAACCTGCAACCACACCAGACCTTTGTTGGCCGTGTTGAATACTTCTGTTGCAGTGTATAAAATGCTTTTGTCAAACGTAACCACACAAGATAACTAGTATTTGAGTTTTAGTATTTCACACAGGCTCAACTGCAAAATCAAAAGCACCATGTTTCCTACTTTTGCCTCACATAATAAAAACAAAACAATAGAACACATGCATGTACAAGTGTACTTTGTCACAATTATCAAAATGAGGATGTGGCCTATATGCTCCAAATACATGCATTTTGGATTACATACATGTGCTCTAAAAATGCATCTGCTGCTGACCTATCCGGTTTCCGTAGTTACATGCAGCATAAAAGCAGTAGAAATGGTTCCATTCAGTTACGCCAAACTGACTCCACCACACTCCACGGGTGTACATGACTCTTGTTCAATGTAGTATTTTCAGACAGAAAAGTGAAAAAGAGAGGACCATCCTCACTCAGCCAATCAGCTCTCAATATGTAAAGCGTGTCAGCTTCCAAGTTCTATGTTATTTATACATATTTGTAGTGGTGTGCTATGCTTCTAAGTTCTTTCATACATGTTTAAAAGATGTTCTCAATCACATAAAAGTCAAGAGACCCAGGCGTCTGATCACATGACCACTGGATACACCCACAGCTTCTCCCACAAAGTGTCTCCACTCACTCCTCGTCTTATGTTAAACTCTCGCTTTCATTCATGCCCTGACCTGATCTTGAATATTCTTTTTGAAGTATTCTTAGTATTTCCAAATCCCTGCTGAAAAAATAAAAGTAGACTCGATTATACAGAAATGCATAGTCTTTCTTTCATAGTTGTACTTTCTTTTACAGAGATTCATTTACTTTAATAAGAAACATGGATGAATGTGTCATGAGAAATGTGACGATTGTAGCTTGTTATCTTACATAACAGGAAAGTACAAGACATTCACTGATATAGCAGACTGCAATATTAATGTCAGACGTACAAAACCATTAGTTGTCTCTACCAGCCCAGACACATCCCAACGCATAGGTGGGTGGGAAGAATTCGAATAAGCACTTTTTGGATCACATACTTTTAAAACATGGAGGAAAGTTGCAATAGAGTTGGCAAAAGTTTTGTGAATCATTTATTATTCAATATTAGATCTAGTCTCAGACAATTTTGTCTGTTTCTCCCCCACATGGCAAAAAAGCATGTGCCAACAGAAAACCTCGATTTTTTATTTCAGTCCTCTCCTGTCTTTCTGTCTAGTTTTATTTCACTCCACTTCAGTCTTATGCTGTGTGATTGGTGCAATATAGGCCCAGGCCCAAAAGTATTATGTTCAAGCAGTCCCATTCTTCAACTGTAGTTACTGCATCTAATTAGAGTTCTTGAACTTATGTGTCAATATATATATTTTTTTTTTCATAACAATATAATACCTTCCTCCCAAGTTAAAGCTAGGGGACCCTACATTCAAACCACCAAGTAGTAAAATGTATTTTTCACATGCATCTATTTTTTCTTAAGAGCCGCTTTTCTGGACAGAAAGAAGAAAACCCCTCACTCAGCCAATCAGCACAAGATACAAAGATGCAAAAAATAGCGTGTCTTTCTAATAAGATGGAGACAGCATGATTTGTTCACAGCATTTTACTTTCACAAGACAAACTGATACCCCAGCTTCTAAGTCAGGCTTATTTGGCTTCAGAACAAATTAAGTTCAAATAAGTCACAACAAATGAAATAAGATTTTACACCTAAAATCAGGCTAAAATAATTAAAAATGTGCATTTTCGACACACCTCCACACGCATAATATTGTATATGCACCAGTAAACTGCACACAGCCCATGTGCCACTGTCACAGTAAAACACATTATTCCAGCGAATGCATTAATTTGCATATTATAATGTTAAACAGCGTATGGGGTAATTTCTCACGTCCAAACCATGCCATGCACAAACGTCTCATGCAGAATCATCTTACCGTAGGCGAAAACACCATATCATTCAGATTCTTTATGTAGGAGAACATTGTTTTTTAGGGAATTAACACCCTACAAGGCAACGAAAAAGAAGTCAAATACGCGCTGGGGAAAAGTTGAAAAAAGTTACAAGCTGAATGACAACTCACCCAAAGTTTGCAAAACTATCCACTAATCCACTAAAATTAATAAAAATCCATTTGGGAAAAAGCGCACAGGGGAGGTTGTGCCATGGTGCGCAGGATGTATAACACGAGCGCACAGTAATAATGTTGTGACTGTATGAAAGAGGAGGAGCTTGTGCACAAAGGGGAGGGTACTATGGCGGGCAGGAGGAGCGCACAGTGCCATAACGTGCCGCGTTCAAGAGCTGTGCGTAAAAATGTTGTGAAGCTGTGCGCATGATGATAATCATTTTATTTTGGATACATCTCATTGTTCCTTTGGCTGCTATATTCCACAGTGTGCGTTGCATGGATCAATCTCCAACGATAGTGTTTTTAAAGCTGAGGTACCTATCTTTCAAATGCCAGCAAATCGAACTCCATGTAATTATGCATTAGTTTTAACACTTGGACACTCAAAGACGGTAGCCCAAGGAATACAAACACATATAGATGTCAAAGGAAACGAAAGCCAAACAAGGAGCATTGTGGGAGAAAGCTGCTTCTCCTACTTTTAGTGTCATACGAGGAACATTACGAAGGTCTGGAGATCTCAATGGTAAGGCACAGCTGGAGCTAATGACATTTTTTGAATGAAATGAAACGCAAGATCGTTGAGGATTTCACATATTTCCGGATGTTTGTGATAAAAGGAAAAATCAGTCACAGTCTAATGACTCATTTTTGTTTCAGTCTTCAGCCTGTCATCAGCCCATCTGACCACCACCAATGTGGGTAAAGTGTTTTGCCGAAGGACACAATAGCAGTTTGGTACTTTACAGCTGCAGCCACCCCACTGTAGCACCTGGTGTTCCCAAAGGTCTCCCATCACAGTACTAACAAGGTCCATGCCCTGTTTAACCTGAGTGGTCTTTTTACGGGCAGCCATTATACAATTAGACCATGCTCGATATTTACAACCCCTGTGTTGTCCCCAAGTCAAAATGACCCACCAGAGGGAGTCAAAATACCCTAAATATTTTCTTTTCAAGCTGAATTTGGATTACTTTTCCTAATTTGACCGGCCCTGGGGAATTTAGACTCTTAGTTTGTAAATAACCTAAAAAGGACCCACAAGGATAGTGTGAGGGATTTCATAGCAGAATGTAATTTCCTGCTAATCAATTACATGTATATAATAAATCACATATAAAGCATCTTACAATTTGGTTCCATTATGAAAGTAAATGCTCTCAAGGTCAACATGAACACACATAATGCAAAATGTAGTTTCTGTCTTTGTCTTAGTAATGGTGCTGCACCTCACAGTGTGTGTTGGGGCATGTTTAAAGGCGACAGGAGCACACGCTTTGCCCCGAGGAGAGGGAGGCCAACATGAATGCAGCAGCAAATAATGACACACTGCAATGTTTGTGTTCATTTTGTAAACAATGAAACAAGCACTGAATGTTCAAATCCAGCAAAAATAGCGAGTGAGAAATTACCTTTTGTAATATTGTAAGTTTTGAATATTTCTAGAATACAAAAATGTTTGATCTTGGATTACACTCTTTATAGGTACATGAATTACAATTCACTGATTCTAAAAAATATTTACATATTCCACCTGCTACACACCTGCAAAAACTGCTACACACTTTTAAAAACTGGTTCTATTTAACTTTGACTTTATATTGTTATATTTCGCTTTTATGTTTGTACTTTCAGAAACACAGTACTTTTATACTGTACTTTTAACAGTTTAACAGTTAATTCTGTTTACTTATATAAACTAAGTAGCTAAAAATGTCTAAAAAAAAGTATTTGATTTGCTTAGTAGTATTTGGAGGAACAGTATGTGTACAAAAGAAGGGAGCTATTTTAACCTATTTTAACTGCAGTAGCTGATGGAAAGACGTGACGCTATGGGAATGTGTTTTTTGACAGGACCATCAGCAATAATTTAAACTATTGGGGAAACGTTTCATTCTATGTAAACTACATAGCAAGTCATTTTTGTCAATTCCAAGTACACATACACGCAGGCTGGAAAAGACAGAAATAACAAAACAACACAAAACACCCTCTCACCAAAGCACACCTATTCCAATCCTACTCATATGGTGATGTGTGCTGGCAGTAAAGTAGGTCTTCAAACACTATCAAATGGAAACACTATCACAAACAGCTTTCAAAAGCGCACCTTAAAAGCAAAAAAAGAACACGTTTGTCCTTACCATGGTCGCGCAGTGCAGTGCTAGAGCCTGGAGTCAGAAGAATAGGTCCTTTGAGCAGAGTGAGTGCCACCCTAGAGCAGCTGATGAATATTTAGGAGGTAGGAGAGAGTGAGAAGAGCGTTGTGGCTTTGAGGACACGGTGCGCACGCAGGTGAGCTGCGCAGGTGGAATCTGGCCGGACGAGGTTCCACGCCTGCCAGGTGCGCACACACAGCGTGATCATTATGGTTCGCAGATGGAGGTGATGTGGTTAAATCACTCAAGTAGGACATGTGTGTCAGAGGTTAATGTGTGTAAACGTTTGTGTTAGTTTGAAAATACACTGAGACTATTGTTTGCACATCCAGGGGAAAAGTCAACATCAACTGTACTGAGAGCGTAATTGCAAAGCAATATCTGTAGTTCCATAATAAGTGTTACTGGTTATTTAATTGGTTGGTTTGGTTACAAACAATTAATCCAGTATCTTCCTTTTCACCATGGCCTTTGTAACACGATTGTGGAATTCCGTGGCAGCACTGGCACTCATGGGCCGAGCCAAAGCTGATGTCATCTCCTGGCTGCATGTTCATCTGATACACTACAGTAAGTGCTTTTGCATAATGTATAAATAATCGTTAAAAAGAATTTGACAACAAACCGGGCCAGGCTGTTGAGGAGGCAAAAATCCCGGGGCTGTTTTTTGGTCCCAGTCCAGGCCTGGTAGGCTGAAATGTTTAAGGCTGGAAAAATGTGCTCTAAAAAACAATACAATTAATTCACATAATTTTGTCCTTAAGTTGAATTGGCCATGATTTTAATGCGTAGGAAATGAGACTTGGACTTGACTTGGACTCTTTGGCTATGGACTGGGACTTGACTTGGACTTAGAGACTTGTGTGCATCTCTGGTATGACTAGTTTCTAGTTACAAGTTCTTCACTCGCGTCTGTCCTTCTTTTTGCCTGGGTGCAGCCGAACTTTGGCAATGAAACTATTTAGGCTGATATTGGCTCTTTGACACACAAAGTGTAATGTTCTGTAACTTAGAAAGATTAAATGTAGTATTTCATAACTTTTTTCATGTCTCTGTGAGCTCTACTACTGGCAATGTTCAAATCCAGATTAGAGCAGTTCTGATTAGCTGTTGATACAACTGATTGTATCTGGATTTAGCAGCTGCGAGAATCCTTGTGTGGGGGCTGCAAGTCCTTGAGCCAGTGGTCTCATGATTTTTGCATGTCCCTGAACGTGAAACCGCCTTCACTTGATACCACATAAAATATTCAAGTGCCTCGTTCCGCTTCAAATCAAAGACACGCACGCACACTCTCACGCACATATGAAGACAACTGCAATAGAGGGATCCTAAGGTCATGTGACTAGTAGCCACGGCGGCCATACTGGAGGACAAACTAGGTGAGTAACAGTCATGATAGCTACTTATAACTGGACGTTCAAAACTAGAATTCTCTCGAACTACATGAAAACTGAACAAAGAATAAAAAAAATCAGCTGTTAGTGACCCAAATATATACTCAACCTAATTCCATAATCAGATCCTCTGCAAATGCGTCCTAAAATGTATTATTAATGTTAATGGTTACTTCCGGGTTTACCACGGCCGTATTTTGTTGCATGTCATGAAAACGATAACAGATAATTCTGAAAACCTCTGTGCACGAGGATGTATAATGTATTATCTGACTAACATTTAAATGTGTTTATTTATTATTATTTGTGTTTATTGTTACACCATGGATCTATGTGTGGCTACACTAGCGTGGAAATAATGAAATTACATTCAAATCAATGGAGCATTCTGTGTCTACTGTGAGGAGCCGTATATTTTTTTTAAACAAAAACTAGTACAGGGCACCCTGCCTTGAGCACGGCTCAGTCGTTCACACGTCTGCCGCGTCTGCTGGCCTTCACCAGGCAAGGCAAGTCAGATACCCTGTGAGTGGTGTGAGGTCCGGTGCAAGAGCAACCGCACGTTGCAGTCAGACAGTGATAAGTCTACATTATCCTAAAACTTCCGATTGTTTCTGAATAACATTAAATAAGCAACCAAATGAATTTTACTTAGCAGAAATGAAATGATTCGAGCATATTCAGACGTTCTGGAGGCTGTTAGTTTTTTGTTTGTTTTTTTACCATTTCTCTCTCGTTTCTGGGCAATTTCTTCAGTTTTGGAGCCATGGGAAGTAAGGACAGCTGGTTGTCAGTAAAACAACTTAATGCCTCTGTCTAACCCTATTGCTGCAGCCAAAAACGGCACAAAAATTGACCATCTTAATGCATTGCCGGGTGCACGCCACTACCACACTGCGTTTGCTTGTCCTCCAATATGACGGATGCCTAGCGTCTCCAAGCCCTTTTCTTGTAATGTGTAATGTGATTTTGTTGATTTAATTTGAACCAAAAGAATCCAACCAAAACAAAATCACGCAGATAGCAGTTTGTTTAGCCAAAGGTGGAGGACTGCAATTAAAAACATGCAGGCTGTTTCAACTCCCATGCTCTAAAACTATATTATTTGTTGTTGTTGTTTGATATAATTTGATACAGATAAATTGAACTGTAGCCTTTAGCGAATACTGGTGTAATAACTGCATGTTCATTAATACACATGCCTGGCCTAAAATAATGATAATAGAGTAATGATAATCATGTGATGATGTGCTAAGGCTTCAACAGGTCTTAATAACCAAAGTGCAGCACACAGATGGATTCCTTTGGGATCAATAGTAGTATTTATCTATCTATCTATCGCTGCTCATACCGCTCATTAGACAACAACATTAAATACAACATTATAACATGCAGATACAGTGCGGCCGTATTCCTTTTGCATATTCATCTGGCACTGGTGATATCAGTCTAATAATATACTGTAACCTTTATTTGTTGAGAATTGGCATTTCACGATGCAATCAAAACATACTCTGGATTCTCCACTGATCGCAATGGAAAATCTTGCGCGCAAGCCCTTCCCTAAAGAGCAAGCAGGATCTTGAGAAGGTAAAACAAAATTAAAGCCGCAAGCGGCGTCGAACGGCCCTTGCCGCACCGCGCAAATGACATACAATACAATACAATTTATTCTTGTATAGCCCTAGGTCACAACAGAAGTCATCTCAGAGGACATAACAAAACCATTGAAATCACCAACACAGGTCAGAGAATCAACAGTTAACACATGGAAAATATAAAGCACACACAGAAGAAAATGTCCATACATGTTGTAGAATGCTAAAGTGTCCTGATCATCACCAATCCTTTCTGTTGGACACTAACTGTCCAACAAGACCCTCCTGCATCGACAAGGAAAAACTCTTAAAAAACCCAGTGGGAAAAAGTGAGAAACCTTGGGGAGAACTAGGGAAACCCACAGGGAGGGAGACCCATATGAGAAAGGGATCCGCTCCTCCGGACGGACAGGCTAATGATCTAGGACCTAAGCTATTACATGTCAGTCATACATGCCAGTCAAGACATGCCATTATTTGCTCCTGTATTCGTAATGAATATGATCAGTTAGTTTGTCTCTATGAGAATAGAATAGAACTTTGTTGTCTGTTCAAATTGAGCAGAGATTTGTCTTTCAACACGGCACATTTAAAAATCATTCTTTAAAACAATCTTAAAATACATAAGACACAATAGTTCATAATTTATGCAGTGCTACCGGTTGTTCAAAACAGTGACTGCAGACGGGACAAACAATCTCTTGTAAATGTTTTTTTTGGGCCAGCGGGGTTCTTTATCTCATGCATGATGGCAGCAGAGAGAAGGAGCCATACAGCGGGTGTGTGGCATCCTCAGTGGTGAGAGTGGCCTTCCTCAGGACTGATTGGCTGTACAGCTCAGAGGGCGGAGTTTGTGGTGTTTGGGTGATTTTGTTGGCCTGCTTTACTACACTATTGAGTTTTGTCCTGTGTTTGAGAGTGAGGAAATTGAACCATGTGGAGATATTGTACGTGAGGATGGATTCAATGAGTGAGGTATACACAATTGGTACCATCAAAAGATCTCAGTTTCCTGAGGAGATGGAGGCGCTGTTGTGACTTCTAAAAACAGAGTCTGCATGGTGCCTAAAGGACAAGCTGCTGTCTATTTCTGTCCCAAGGTATTTGAAACAGCCCACCTGCTCCACCTACTGGCCATTGATGACTAGGGGTTGGAAAAGATCCACAGAGTGTGTTTTTCTAGCGGCCCCACAGCATAACTCCTTGGTTTTGGTGATATTGAGCTCTAGGGAGTTCTGAATATATCCACGAACCAGCATGTGGACCTCCTGCTGATATTGTGCTAGTTCATCAGTGAGGTGTGCCACCAGAGCTATGTCGTCTGCGTACTTTATAAGGGTCAGTCCTTCTGTGCTACAGGAGATGGTATTAATGTACACAGAGAAAAGCACAGGCGACAGCACACAGCCCTGGAGGAGTTTGGTCCTCAAAACAATTTGGTTGGATTTGACACCGTCAATTAGCACATGCTGTGGCCTATCACGTAAAAACTCCCTGATCCATAGAATTAGTGATGAGTGAATGTGGAGTGATGAACTAAATTTGAACAACACTCCCCATGAAAAACTGACTAAGTCTGTAGGGGGTGCGAACTTAAACAATTTGTGGCTGACTAAAAACTTTTTTTCCCCACTGTTAGTAAATGTAGGCAATAAGTTTAGTTAATTATTGAAGTGATGAAATAAACCAAGCAACGGCACGACCGGAATATCACCAGAAGAGTACTACACACAGTACCGAAGGATTAGAATGCACCAGTTTCCAAGTTTAACAGGTTTTACCGTGGTATCAGACAATTTATTGCATTTTTATTTAATTACATTTAAATTGAAAAAGACAGGACGTTCTCTTTATTCATCCACACTCACATTCAAACACTTAAATCTCCTTCACTGCTTTATTGCACATTCCCGCAAGTTGCTTAAGCCCCAGAGACTGGATGCAGGTCTTGTTAAAGTGTGTGAGTGCAGAACGCAGATTTCCATAACTGCAAGGAAGACAAAACAGTAGTAGCACAAAGTCGTGAAACAAAGCAGCAGAGAGGCATATGGCAGTGTCGCTGAAACGCACCAAATAAGAAGTAGAAACAACGCGTCGTCAAAACAGGTGGCCAAACAGGTGGCCAAACAGGAGGCTGCGATCAGAGCAGCCCGTATGGCTGGACGGACCAACCCGCGCCACTTGTGTTGCGCAATGCTGGCTGCAACAATCTTGAGTAGGTTGAAGCCAAAGCGCATGAGACTGCGCTGCCCGTGGCTCGAATCAAGCAGCGTAACTATCGCTGCAGTCAAAGTCACGCTGCAAGAGCACAGAGTCTATTGCACAAGAGTGCAGACAAAGGAGCTAGCACCGCAGATAAGCGGCAGTGGATGCGCGGAGCTGGGGCCAATGCATATCTGCAGAGGTGGGGGCAAAGAGGGGCAAATGAGAGGAGGAGCGCTTATAAAGGCCACCGGGACACCCGTGGGAAAGCAAGCGCACCTTCAACAAGGACTTCAGAAGCCATTTTACCACACCAGTGAAGCTAGTTTCAGTTTTCATTTTCGCAGCTACTGTTAAAGGAGCAGTATGTACAAATCTGGCCAAAAGTGGTATTGCAACCTCTCCCACTCTCCCTGACTCAGGTTGCCAGATATGCAGACGAATCCAGCTGGGATCATAATAGCTGAATATACACCTTAACACCTTTTATACATACACACAGGCTGACACCAGTACGGACCACTGCATTAAGTTTATGGACTGCTTCACCAACAAGGTGACGTCAATCCGGTCCACTACCCCATCTCCAACTGACATCACTTTTCCTAAGCCGCCCAACACCTTTTCCGTCATCACCGTTTGTGGAATGATTGGAGCAATATCTGAACTCTGAACATTGTAAAGTGCTTTGGGTGACCTTGGTCTGTAAAATGCGCTATATAAATAAACATTACTTACTTACTTACTTACCTCTTCTTTCTTGGATATCTCCCAGTCTGAAGTGGAGAGGATTATAAACAGCATGAAGCCCTCCACCTGTCTGCTGGATCCTGTCCCCACAACACCCCAGTCACTGAAATCCGGTCAGGTCCCCCCAGCTCTGAAAAATTCAGTAATTCACCCCCACCTGAAAAAACCTTCACTCGACCCCAACATCCTAGCCCACTACGGACCAGTCTCTAACCTCCCATTTCTCTCAAGTCCTGGAAAAAGCAGTAGCAGCCCAACTCCACAATCACTTACGCACCCATAGCCTATATTAGAAATTTCAATCTGGTTTTCGCTCAGCCCACAGTACGGAGACGGCCCTGGTCCGCGTCATGAACGACCTACTCATGACTGCAGACCGGGGCTCACCCTCTCTCCTCCTCTTCCTCAATCTGTCAGCAGCTTTTGATACCGTGGACTACCCCATCCTCCTCCGTAGACTACAATCAGTAATTGGACTTTCTCAGACAACACTCAAATCGTTTCACTCATATCTCACTGAGAGAACAGAATACGTATCCCTAGGCCAGTCCAAATCTTCACCCCATACAGTTACTTGTGGAGTTCCGCAAGGTTCAGTCCTCGGGGCGACCCTTTTTACAATATACATGCTCCCCCTTGGTCATATCATCAACAAATACAACATTTCTTTCCACTGCTACGCCGATGATACAGTTATACCTGAAAATGGACTCCACCCACAGTTCTCCCGTCAGCACTTCAGCTTTGTCTGGAGGAGATAAAGGCATGGACGGATGACAATTCTCTCCAACTCAATACTGATAAAACTAAAACCCCCACCAAACCCGGTCCTCCCCTCTCAGCAGTGTTTTCAATTTTTGGCCAAAACATCCCCTTGTCCACCTGTTAATAACCTAAGAGTCAGTCTCAATTCTAATTTTACATTTGACACCCACACCCGCCACCTCTGTTAAGTCTCCTTCCTTCACCTCAAAAACATTGCCAGACTCCGCCTCTCCCTCTCACAACCAGACGCTGAGAAGCTGATCCATTTTTATTCAAACAGGCCTTCTAGTGTACAATAGTAGCCTGGTCGTACCACACCATAGTACAGATTACATTTCGTACTAAGGTCTGGAGGTGCTCCATTGAGCTCCGTTTACAGGTGGGAGGGGTTAACTCCTGTTGCAGATTGAAACGATTGGATCTAAGTTTACCGTGACCTATGTAGTGCGCCCGAGTCTGTTGTTAGCATTTAGCCTAGCCATCTTTGCCACTAATGGAGCCCGTGGGACGTAGCGCCAAATTTTTTTCCAGCGATTTACATTTGCTAAACATTCCTCTTGCTCCGGCTTCAATTTCTCGATAGAACCAGACCGGATTACTTTACTATCGCATTTTTCGACCATTGCCAAACTATAACCTGCCTGTTCGACGCAAACGCTTGACATCACCCACAACTAACTACAACACCTGCCTTCCGCGCTCTCTGAATGGTCGGTCGAAATTCAACCGATTGTAATCGCTAACATCGGGACTAGACCCAGACGTTACATGCAGTGAAATGATGATTGAAAGGAGTGTACGGATGGCTAGGGCCAGGCTAGTACAGTAGTAATGTTTTTATGTTTCATGATGGTGTCTATTTGATGTATTGTAAATTTCCATCCATCCATCCATCCATCCATCCATTTTCTACCCTTTAATCCATTTCTGGGTCAGGGGGGTGGCAGTCAGAGATGCCACCCAAGTCTCATAGCACCAGCCCCTCACTGACCCTCTGCAGGTGGTGAGTCCACAGGAGGACGGCTGCTCTCTGACTGTGAGCATAGCCTTGATCTTTCAGTGGGGGCTTTGGGCAAAGTGGGGTTAAGTGTCTTGCCCAAGGACACAACGACAGCAGTCATCAGTGGGAGTCGGTGGAGAAGGTGCAGAGGTGGGAATTGAACCCATGACCTTCTGGCCTTCTGGCTCTACCAATTGTAAATATTGTACATTTTTAGTTTTTAATTTTCAATGTTGTGTATCTTGGGGATGTTTTCTGTTCTGTAAGCACTCGGAGATTTCGTTGAAATGTAAAGTGCATTATAAATAAATTGTATTATTGTTATTATTATTATATACCACCTTTTTCACAAAAATATCCCGATAGAAAAAAATTATGTTTTGTCATTAATGATTTGAGAATCATAACGAGATCTTTTTTACACATGTTACTTTACCAGTGAGATTAGCTCGACACGATGAGTTCTGGCAACTCGGATCACAGACTTTCTGATGGTAAAACAGTGGCAGGCGGGACATTGAAATGAAAACAAAAACAAGATTTAGGGGCTGTAAAACTAACTTTGATATTCAAATATCTCGGCTGAACTACTGTTGTCCGTTAAAGAAGTATTCCAAAAAAGAATGGTTTATTAATACCTTTTGACTTACTAGGGCCATTTAATGACTTAACGTGAAAATCTTAAAGTGGACATATTGTGTTTTCAAATAATTGATTTTTACATCTAAATCATTAATTTGTGGCCTATATAAAGCGTAACTGCAATGCCTGGGTCTGAGTCTCATTATTTGTAGCTCCACGGGCCTTTCTTCTACACCTGTTCTGAGGTGCATCTGAGAGCAACCTGTTTTGGTGCTGTCTCTTTTTTTTTATTTTTTATTTTTTTATTATTATTATTTATTTTATTTTTTTCTCGTTGGATAGTTTTCAACTTATCTAATGCTTTTCTATATTTGCCTGAATATAATGGTTTAATTATTGGTTTGTGTGCAGGAGAAATGTTTACCTTTTACTCACGTGTGATTTAACTCTAAATGTATGTTTGTAAATGTACTTCTTGAACATGCTTTCAAAAGATTGCAATGGTATCTGTAATGTATTGTTAGTGGAGAGGGGTACATGAGAGTGTGTGTGTGTGTGTGTGTGTGTGTGTATGGGTGTGCATTTGTGTTTGTATTCCGTTTTATTTTATTTTTGTCATTTTGTTTCTTTGGATGTTGTTGTGCATCAAATGACTACGCTGTAACCTGTATATAGAGGACCCCCACGAAAACGAGATGATGCATCTCATGGGGTTATTCCTCTTTAAATAAATGTCTAAATAAATAAATAAATGAGGCGCTTTTGACCACGCCCCCATCCAGGTGACACAGGTTCAACTCCACCCCGAGCGGCCATTTTTGTAGTTACTAAGCACAGATACAATTATCTCATAGAAACTTCTCATTACATCGCAAACATGAAGCAGTCCTTCCTCATTGACTGAAAGCAAATGTTAAGTTTCATTCTTAGTCCAGTCTTATTATCGACTCTTCTCTTTTTAGCTTTGGGATCCATGCGCACAGTCTATAGGGTCATTTCCACGGGCCCGACTCTACTCTACTCGACTCGACTCTCCCCGGTTTGCGGACGTTTCCACCGGCTCGCTTTAGCCGCGGTAACGGCTTTAGACCTGGCTCTAGTCGGGCCGAGCAGATACTGTAACCCCAGCAACGTCGGCGAACGCTGGTGTGTCCCACTCAGCAAAAAGCAGACGCCTTTTCTCTGGCATCTCTAACATTTATAATAAATACATAAATATAACATTCATAATGAAGATGCTTTCAAATAATTTAGCTGTAAACCATTTATGTTTTAACTCCACACGGCTCCTCCCCTGCCAAACTTCTCACTGCTCTCTCCTCCGTAAACCACCACAATGAGGAAAAGGGAATATTCACTCAATCTATTTTGAATGTTACACAATAGCTAAGCACGCGTAACATCTGTAGCCTGTGTAATTACAATAGACTGTAAATATTAAAGTAATTACGCACCTGCTTAGAACAGTAGCGGCGCCAGGTTTTCAATTTTGGGTAGGCCTGCAGATTAGTAGGTATAGGCCAAATTCGCTCGCAAACTACAAGGGGTAGTTGGAATTTAGGTTTCAAACAATATGGTTCGCACGCACGCACTCAAGCACACACATACAAACACACAGGCCCTCATTTAGGAAACTTGCGTAGAAAAAGGTGTACATTTCGGGTGTATATTCCATTTACACAAGATCCAACGTGGGATTTATGAACGTGTGAGATCCACCCAGATCTGAGCGTACGCAGCTGCGGGTGTTGATAAATGCCGCGGCTGAATACGAACGTATTTATGAAAGTCACGCCTAGAATTATGCAGCAATCGCCTGTTTCACGCCCCGTCTTTGCAACAGGTCAGCAGGAAGTCGGCCAAAAAGACTAACAATAAATATACGCTATATATTCAGCTGCGTTTTGAACAAATTTGCCAAAATATTTTGATACATTATAAAAATCTCTCTTGAATTGTAGAAGTGAATAAATATAGATTGAATGAATGAATTGATTCATATATATTATGCAGCGGTGACTCTCATCAATGAAGTGTCTGCAGCGTCTTGGACGCAGCCTGGCTCGGGGTAGAAGTGCGCATTGAAGCGCTGTACACTTGAGAGAGAAACTTCTGAATGACAGCACATTTGAGGAGTTATGTGGCCGACCTCTCACGGCACTCGCTGCGCACTCTGGACAGGGCAGTGAGACATTTGGAGTGAACAATAGCCCATCGGTGCTGGGGTGTGTATCTGTGTGAGGCAAATCTAATGAAAAAACACATTGCTTTAGATGTGAATGAGGAAACACAGACAGCCGTGTGTAATTACGCAGCGCAGAGCCTGCCACAGCAATAGCTGGGTCACACATGCCTGTCGCGTAAAGTGTATTTGTATAGAGCCTTTCACAGTCCAAGATCACAAAGCACTTCACATTTAAAAAACATGCAGATCAAAACTACTACTACACACACAAGTCAGATTTAATAAAGGGTCCTCATCATGAGCTGTGATTTATTCAAAGTTTGCGTGTTTCCATTAGACTTTTTCTGATGCGCAAATTCAAATTTTGAAACATGATGCTCAATGAAAACACAGCTTATAATTTTGCCAGAGGGAATATGTTTATTATTGTCCATATCAGAATCAGAATCAGAATCATTTTTATTGCCACGTAAGTAACAGGAGGTCACAGACTAGGAAATTGCTTTGGCTCAGTGCAACAGTCAAAAAGAGATAATAAAAATAAGAATAAAACACACTTCTAAAGAATAAATTTACATTTAAAATAGAGTTACAGTTACTATTTACAATATACAAGTGCACATGGTGCACTTGTAAGGTGCTGTAAGGTGACAGCAGTACAGTGAAGTAAAGTGACGTATGATGGGCAGTAAAGTGACTTTATAAAGGGCGGGGGGACAGGTTAAGAAGTGTTCAAGAGTCCAACAGCAGAGGGGAAGAAACTGTTCTTGTGGCGGGAGGTTCTAGTCCTGATGGACCGCAGCCTCCTGCCTGAGGGGAGTGGTTGGAATAGTCCATGTGCAGGGTGAGAGGGGTCGGCTGTGATACGACCAGCCCGGCCTCGAGCTCGGGCGACGTACAGGTTCTGCAGCGATGGAAGGCTGCGGCCGATCACTTCCTCTGCAGAGCGCACAATGCGCTGTAGTCTCTGTTTGTCCCTGACTGTGGCTCCAGCGAACCACACGGTGACGGAGGAGGTGAGGATGGACTCTATGATGGCCGTGTAGAACTGCACCAACATCTGTGCAGGCAGCTTGGCTTTCCTGAGCTGCCGCAGGAAGTACATCCTCTGCTGGGCCTTCTTGATGAGGGAGCTGATGGTCGGCTCCCACTTGAGGTCCTGGGTGATGGTGGTGCCCAGGAAACGGAAGGACTCCACAGAGGTGATGGGGGAGTCCATCACGGAGGGTGGGGGTGGGGGTGGGGGGACAGTGCTCTTAAATGTCATGCGTGTTTTGGCGTGTTGTGCCGAAGGTTGAGATCAGCGTATAGATTTACTCCACATCCAGACCTGGCGTATATTTTTTGCGTATTGTACGCTCACGTCCAGATTGTTAAATGCGTACACCTCATTTACCCTGATTTGGCCGTACGCAGTTTCATACATGAGGCCCTGTGTCTCACACAGGCCTGGAGTTTCCCTCATCAGTGCGAGGCGAGCCTGGCCTGACCGCGCTCTCCTCCTCTGGAACCTACGGGCCCGGGCCTCTGGCTCCTCTACCTCACCAAGTTCACGCTGAACTTTCTTAAAACTAAAATTAAAAAGGCTACTCCGTTGTGAATGTGAATCTTTAAGAGGAGGAATAGCTGGTTGTTCTCTGGGAACAACCTTCGCGCATGGGTTTCGGGATGTTTGATATGATCATGCAGCTTATTGGACAAAATTGTTCAGCCAATAAACAGAACTATATTTGAAGCAACAAACCTGATGACGCTCAAGCGGTTACATTTTCTAAAAACATTAGAACGCAACATTTTAGCAATAGTGTGTGTATAGAAAAAACAATATTTAAATTATGTCTTTTAATACAAAAGGCAAATGACTTGAGAGGCGAGGAACAAATTTGAGTAGGCCAAGATAAAAACTGGTAAAAACTACCCATGCCTATACCTGGCGCCGCGGCCGGCTTAGAAGGCCTGGGATGCCCACAGCGTCATCAGTCTACGCGCCTCTGTGTGGACCACACGTCTCTCTTCGGGCTGGAGCTATGGCTGGAGCATTTTGAGGGTTTTAAAGCAGGAGTCAGGAAGGTGGCGATTTTACGGGTGTTTGTGATTTTTTGGTTTAACAGCCTCCCTGTTAAACTTAATTATATATATAATTATATATAGGGATCAGGAGCTTTATGACCCAACCCACCCGCACCCGACATGACTCATATTTTTGAGGCATCCAACCCGCCCGAAACTGCGGGTTGACCGCGGCTTTCGGGCCGACCCGCGCATCACTACCCCTTAGGTAACACGTTGCCATAGATACACAGGGCCGATGGAAACGCTCTCAAACCGGGTCGAGTCGTGCCGAGTCGAGTTGAGGCGAGTAGAGTCGGGCCCGTGGAAACAGCCCTATGATGCTCACACGCCGGTTTGTTTACAACAGCAGCCGCCTGGCGCAGGCCTACGTCGCAAGATATGAAGCACTACGTTGACAGAAATGTTTAAATTGAATATTACTTATGCACAATTTTACAGCACTCTTTCCACCTACAGAAGGAAAGAGACGCATGCGCCTCCGGAGCCGCAGGTTGCCGACTCCTAGTTTATACAGTATGTGGAAGCAAATACTGTAGAGGATCAGGATATGTGCAGTTTCAACAATAAAATAAAATGCAATAGTCTACATTACAAGAGAGTAATAAACATTTCTCAGAGTGAAGGAGGTGGACACAGACAACACTGTTGTTTGTTACAGGGATGAGAATTGGTCAAAAAAGACTGAAATGCATATTGTCAGCCATTTGCTGTCTCTAAATCTGTTTAATTTGTTCACAACATATTACTTTTGGGCTCAAACATGAACTTTTAATGCAATGCAAAATGTAGGTATCAGAGCTTTATTTAGGGCGTTTAATCGCGCTTCGAGAGGAGGGGGAGACCGCTGTTTCCTGCAGCAGTGTATTTATTGGGTGCACAGATTACTCAAAGACACGCATGGTCCTGTGCGCGTTTATGGGGGTTGGGTACATTGCCACGTTGAGGCTGCGCGCTCAGCCACAACACGGTGGAGCGGCTGCGAGCGGCTGGACGCTCACAGCCTCTCGCAGCCGCTGGACGCGGAAGCTGCTCATTACAAAGCGGCCGCAGATGCCCCGGAACACTGCGGCCGCTGAGGTGGCGGAATCCCGTTCGAGTACATACAGCAGGTGCCCCGCGGATACGCGCGCCCCGCTCAAAACATTCTCAACGGATTTACACTTCTCATAAACATGTGTTTTGTGTGAGGCAGACAGACCGGCCCAAATATGGACATCGGCCCTTTGGGCATTGCCCGGTACGCCCGATGGCCAGTCCAGCCCTGTTCGCTGGCATCCTTGAGCTTGGACAACAAATTCGAAGTGATGCACAGTAGAGGAGGGCTGGGCCGAAGTGTTTTGTTAGACGCCCATGCCCTTATATAGCAGTCTCGCTGCAAATACTGTGACGTAATAATTCTAAACACGTAATAGAGAATGGCAAAATCAGAACGGGTTGAAAAATCTTACCTAAACAGAATATTAATTGTTCTCTTACTAGCTTACTTACTTCTTTAAATGCAGAATAATGTTGGTGCATTCTTTCACGTCTTTGAGGACGATTGTTGAGGAAGTGACGATACTATAGTATGTGTCGTTTTTTAAAGTTCCACTTCTACGTCATGGTGCTACGTCCCTTAGGACTTCGCTAGTGGGATATCACTCGTGACCCCCAGGTCACACGCCAGAGAGATCAAAATAATTGATCCGCTGGAGGGGGTCCTGGGATTCCTACAGGAGCTTTTTGACAAAGGGAGGGCTGTCGCCACCTTGGCGGTTTTCGCGGCAGCCATTACCTCGGGTCACGACGGATTCGGGGGGTTCACAGCCCGCTCTCATCCCTTGGTTAAACGTTTTCTGCGGGGGGCGCGCAGGAGGAGGCCCCCGCTCCAGAGAACGCCCCCGGTTTGGGACCTCAGGGTGGTCCTTAGGGGGCTGTCGGGTCCGCCTTTTGAGCCGGCGGCGAAGGCGAGTACCGAGTGTGTCGCTTTTAAGACGGCCCTCTTGCTGGCGTTGGCGTTTGCTAAGAGGGCGGGCGACTTGTGTGCGCTCTCTGTCCATGCGTCTTGCCTGTCCTTTGGAGAGGGCGACGGCATGGTGGAATTGTGGCCCAATCCGGCCTTTCTCCCCAAGGTCATCACGTCGGCCTTTAGGTCGAGAGTCATCAGGATTAGGGCTTTCTATCCGCCACCGCATGCCTCCCCCGAGGAGGAGCGGCGGCACCTTCTGTGTCCTGTCAGAATGTTGAGGCATTACCTGGCCATGACGTCGTCATTCAGGTTGGGTGATCAGTTGTTTGTGTGTCTGGGCCCCAAGAACAGGGGCGCCCCGCTGTCGGCTCAGCGGCTGGCGCACTGGGTCGCCACGGCTGTGCGGCGGGCGTATCAGACGCAGGGTCTGGCCCCCCCGGTGGGCTTCAGGTCGCATTCCACGCGTGGAATGGCGGCCTCTACGGCCCTCCTCAGGGGGGCGTCGGTCGAGGACGTCTGCCGTGCGGCTTCTTGGGCGTCGTCCTCTTCTTTCGTCCGGTCTTATCTTTTGGATGTGTCGGACCGGTCGGTGGCCCATTCCGTGCTGAGTGCAGCGGACTGAGTTGAGACCGTTAGGTCCCTCCTCTGAGGGGGCCTTCGGTTGACTTTCCGCCCTGGTTCAGGAGCTCTTGGGAGAGGCGTCCTACAGGTGCGGTACTTATATGTGTGCTTTGGTCAGTCAGGTAGTCCACGACAGGAGCTCTTGGGAGAGGCGTCCTGGGACTACGGGTGACCTACGGTCTGTGTTACGTGGGGGTATCCTTGGGAGGAGTGGCCCGGGAACACGCATTTGCTTCTTCTGCCCTGAGTCCTCTCACTGTGTGAGGGTCTTGCTCGGGCGGAGCTCCAATCACCCTTCGCTGGCCTGCTGGGAGTACATGTTCCTACGGCCTCCGCGTTGTGTCCCACTAGCGAAGTCCTAAGGGACGTAGCACCATGACGTAGAATAGTTACCTAATGTAACTTAAGTTCTACGAATAGGTGCGTAGTCCCTTAGCTACGAGCCCATCAGGCCGGGCTGGCCTGATGGGTTCAAGAGGGGGTGCGGCCTTGTGCAGGGTCCTTTATAGAGGAGGGTGGCTGGTGATTGGAGCAAATTATTTTGATCTCTCTGGCGTGTGACCTGGGGGTCACGAGTGATATCCCACTAGCGAAGTCCTAAGGGACTACGCACCTATTTGTAGAATAGTTACATTAGGTAACTATTAATTCCCCCTACTGGCCAGGCGCAAGAGTTACATTGTTTTCCGTAGGCGTGTAGACGCTTAGCACTTCGATTACAGAGCCTGGTCGTTTTTGCAAATGCTTTCAATTCAATTCAATTCAAATAACTTTATCAATCCGTGAGGATCTTCATTTACAGACGTAGCACCGGTGGGGGTACAAAAAACACAGAAACACACAATCAAGTATAAATACAGTAAAAGAGCAGAAATACAATATAAAATACATAAAACAGGTCTCGGGGCAGCTGCTTAAAAGGCCAATTGAGGTGGAGAGGAAGCAGGATGTGGCCCTTTTTTTTTTGAACGGGAGGGACCTGAACCTACGTCCTGATGGGAGCAGACTGTCATGTCTGTGGAGATCTGGGAGCCTTTCCTTTACAATAAGTTTGTTATTGTAAATGTATGTGAATGCTTGCTGCTGTCCAATGATTTTGCTGCTGATTTTAATTATCTTATTGAGTGAGTTCCGATGTATAAAACTGAGTGAACCAAACCAAGCTGTAATGTTGAAAGTGAGAATTGATTCATACTACTTTGCAGCGTCTCTGCAGTGTCTCGGCTTTTAACTCATTCACCGCCATTGACGTCTATAGACGTCAATCGCTTTTTTTTCGTTTTTTTCTTTCTATGGCTCGTCAAGGCTCTTGTGTCAACATTTCAGACCTGTAAACACTTTGGAACCGATCCTGTAGGGGGCAGAGGTGACACTGTGGCCAGATCCAGGGAGGGAGAAGGGGGCATGTGGTGCTGTGAGCAGCAAACAGCCAGAGGAGCAGCCATGCTTACACAGAGGGCCGC